TGGCCATCTTGGTTTTGGTGGGTTTTGGACTGGCTTCTTTACTGCAGCCTGTTTTACTGGCAAGGTCTCTGTGACCTGTATCCTGTGCTGACCTCCTGTCTCACCCTGTGACTTAGAATGCCTTCACCACCTGGAAATGCAGCCCAGTAGGTCTCAACCTCCTTTTACCCAGCTCCTATTCAAGATGGAGTTGCTGTGGTTCACATGCCTCTAGCAGCTGCGCTCCTCGGGATCTCCTGACATTCTGTTCCCTCTGTCCCCAGCTCCTGGGTCCCTCCACCATCGCTGTCTTCCTGAGCCTCCTCCCTCTGAATTACTTCATCACCAAGAAGAGGAATCACAGTCAGGTTCGGCTTTTGGGAAAGGGACAGACCAGGCAGGAAGTAGGGAGGAAGACAAAGGCCCTGGTGTGGGCGATGGGGAGGGGAGAGCTGAGTGGGAGCCGGTGGGTCTGGCTTTGTTCTTGTCTCTGTGAGTTGCTCATTGTGTAAACCTGCCCCACTCCTTCCCCATTGCAGTGGGTGGTGGCTCCTCTCTTCAGTGTTCAGGCCCCAGGCCCTGGGTCAGATCAATGTCTTTTTCTCCTGCACCCCATCAGTCAGCAGATTTGCTTAACATCACCTTGAAAATGCATCCAACAGCAAGGCCCTGGCTCACTCCCTACTTCTACCCCAGCCTCTCTCCACTTCCAGCCACAGGAGACCTGTGTGAGCTGAATCCATTGCACACTCCTCTGCTTAGACCCACAGCAGCCCCATTTTCCTCAGTCTGAGCCACCAGGCTCGCCCTGAGCTGCCTCATCACCTCCAGCCTCACCTTCCACCCATATCCCTCCCTTTCCCACCTACCCGCCTTCCCCATCCTCACACCTGCCTGATGTTCACACATCTCTCCAGACGTCTGCTTTAGCTGTTTCCTCCGCCCTGACCACCCTCACTCCAGAAGACCCTTGTCCCCTCCAGCACTCCTGCAGTCAGGGCCGCCTCCCTCACCACCGTCCAGCAAGGACACGGCCTGCCCATCCCTCTCCTCCCAGCAGCTCCCTTCCTTGGCCTGTCCTGGGTTCGTTTTTGCTTTTCCCCAGCACTTCCCACTTCCTATAGGGCCCTGCAGGAAGCACCTGGCAGGGGTAATGGCCTCGCTCTCCTTAGACTGGAAGCCTGGAAGCTCCGCAGCAGCACGGGCCACTCCCTGTGGCAGACTCAGTAACTAGTTAGTGCTCGGCATGCAGAAGGTGCTGGATCAGTGTTTGAGAACTACGGAAGGAAGGACGGAGGGGAGGAGTGAAAAGGAGGGAGGGAAGGAAAGATAGGAAAGGGGAGGACAGATGGAGGGAAGGAAAGAGTTGAAAGAGGAAGAGGAGGAATGAGGGAGGGAAGGAAGAAAGGGAGAAGGGAGGAGGGAGGGGAAAAAGGAGAGGGAAGAACAAAAGGGCAGGAGAACGGAAGAAAGGAAAGAAAGGCGGGAGAGATGGAGGGAGGGAGGAAAGGGGGATGGAGGAAAGGAACTTATTTCCTCTCTAGTCCCAACTGTCCCAATATCCATCTGTCACTTGGACTGTTTCTCCAGCCTCCTGCGTGGCCTCCTTCAGGCATGGTGGCTCACACCTGTAATCCCAGCACTTTGGGAGGTCGAGGCAGGCTGATCACCTGAGGTCAGGAGTTCCAAAACAGCCTGGTCAAAATGGCAAAATGCCATCTCTATTAAGAAATACAAAGATTAGCTGAGCATGGTGTCAGGCACCTATAATCCTAGCTACTCTAGAATCTCAGGCAGAAGAATCACTTGAACACGGGAGGCAAAGGTTACAGTGAGCTGAGATCGTGCCACCGCACTCCAACCTGGTAACCAAGCAAGACTCCATCTCAAAAAATAACCTTCTCCAGGCAGCTGCCTTCTGATGATGCCCCCCTCCCTCAGTGAAGCACGGGAGACCCCAAACTCCTGCCTGACCCTAAAGTGCCAAGTGACCCTGCCTATGCACTCCTCTGGCCACACTGAGTGTCCTCTGAGTCATGCTGGTCCCTGTGCCTGGGTTTCTGCTGCCCCCTGTCTGAAAGCCTCCCCTCCCTCTTCCCGGCTCTATCCCCCTTTCCTCTGCCTGCCCAGCATCCACCTCCTGGTCATTTAATGTTTAGCTCAGGCTGTAATCCCAGCACTTTAGAAAGCCGGGGTCAGAGGATCACTTGAGTTCAAGAGCTTGAGGTCAACCTGGGCAACATAGTGAGATCCACCTAACTCCACCAAAAATGTGAAAGAAAAAAAAAGATGTAACTCAGGCATTACCCACCTCCACCTAGTCTTCCTGATGGCGCCATCCACAGGTGGGCTCAGGGGGCAGCCTCTGTTCTCCGGGCATCAGAAGCTGCCTCCCCATGGCAGTGGTCCCGGGTCAGCTCCTGCAGGGGTCCAAGCACAGGATGATGGTGGATGGGTCAGGACTGAGGGTCAGAGATGCAGAGAGGCAGACAGCTTTGGGACGCACTTGGTGAGATCAGTGGGATTTGCTGCAGGGTGACTGTCAGGGTGTAGGGGAGAATTCTGGACCGGCCGTGTCTTCACCTCTCTCTTCCCTCCAATCCCAGGAGAGCAAATGAGGCAGAAGGACTCGCGGGCCCGGCTCACCAGCTCCATCCTCAGGAACTTGAGGACCATCAAGTTCCATGGCTGGGAAGGAGCCTTTCTGGACAGAGTCCTGGGCATCTGGGGCCGGGAGCTGGGCGCCTTGCGGACCTCCAGCCGCCTTTTCTCCGTGTCGCTGGTGTCCTTCCAAGCGTCTACATCTCTGGTAATGTCACTCTAGTCTCTATGCTAAGCAGGACTGGGGAAGGAGTGTGGGGGTCAGGGGGTGAGGTAGGTGGAGCCTCCCAGATCCTACCACCCTGTCCATCAAAACCCACACATTCTGGATCCTGTTCTATCAGGGTTCCTGCTGTCTTCTGTGTGAACGAATTAATCACATCATTCTGGTGAAGGTGGCAGCAGCTGATGAGGTCTGCTGTTCTGAGAGTTCCAGGCTTCTATATGTGGGGATGAGGGTTCAGGTGCAGGGGACTGCAGAGGTAGAATCCAGGGTCTCAGTGGCTTCCCTGCTGCTGGCCAGCAGATGTCCACAGCCATGCTGTCACTGACGTAATCCTTGTCCTGCCATTCTGTCATTTATTTCTGATGGCTGTCAGAACACTCTTCCTAAAGCACAGCCTTCAGAAGAATTTAAACATGTTGATGCATAGGCCAGGTGCAGTGACTCACGCCTGTCATCCCAGCTCTTTGGGAGGCTGAGGTGGCTTGAACCTGGGTGGTGGAGATCACAATGAGCTGAGATTGTGCCAATTCACTCCAGCCTGGGTGACAGAGCAAGACTGTCTCAAAAACAAAATAAAACAGAAGGACCACAAATGGCACCAACACCTAGAGCCCTGCAGTGCTGCTTTCCCCAGGAGTCCCCAGGCTCAGCCCTCATGCCTATCACCTTCACAGAGAGGCCTTTCCTGACCACCTTCACCACCACCGCAGCACCCCTGCTCATGGTAATGCACTCTACACCTGCACCTGACTTTCTCTTTACTTTTTTATTTTTGAAGACAAGAGTCTTGCTCTGTTCCCCAGGCTGGAGTGCAGTGATGCAATGTCAGCTCACTGCAACCTCCACCTCCCAAGTTCAAGCAATCCTCCCACCTCAGCCTCCTGAGTAGCTAGGATTACAGGCAGGTGCCACCATGCCTGGCTCTTTTTTTGTACTTGCAGTAGAGATGGCATTTCACCATGTTGGCCAGGCTGGTATTGAACTCCTAACCTCAAGGGAGCCATCCACCTCAGCCTCCCAAAGTGCTGGGATTACAGGTGTGAGCCACCACACCTGGCCACACCTGCTTTAGTATTTATTCTTCATAGCGCTCTCCACCTGATGTGCTGTCTGTGTTAATGGTTTGTTTATGGATCGCCTGTCTCTTTCCCCCTCATTAGAATGATGGATCCATTAAGACAGCAGCAACTTTGTTTTGCTCATTGCTGTTTTCCCAGAGCCTGGAACCCTGCCAGATGTGTGATAACCAGGCAGTAGTTTTTCATAGAATGAATGAATGTAAGAATGAATGAATGGCCGGGTGCTGTAGCTCGTGCCTGTAATCCCAGCACTTTGGGAGGCCAAGGTTGGTGGATTGCTTGAGGTCAGGAGTTTGAGACCTGCCTGGACAACATGGTGAAACCCCAGCTCTATTAAAAATACAAAAGTTAGGTAGGAATGGTGGTGCACACCTGTAATCCCAGCTACTTGGGAGGCTGAGGGAGGAGAATTGCCTGCACCCAGGAGGTGGTAGTTGCAGTGAGTTGAGATCATGCCACTGCACTCTAGCCTGGCAGAAAGAGAGAGGCTGTCTCAGAAATAAATAAAAATAATTTTAAAAAAGAATGAATGAAAGACAAGAAGTCCTAGAGAGAAGGAATAAGTTGCAGTAATCAATAGTGCACAAGGGAAATTACAGTGAATGAGAATTTATTTGAATA